CCATTTCGCTATGTGATTGGGGGACATGTTGGGTTGTTTAGAAGAGGAAAGGAAAATGAAATAATGCAGACGAATTGTTAGATTTTGTAAAAATAGAAAGGAAACCAACAATCAGTTAAGCTCAGTTCGATTGCACATTTGTAAGTCAGTGTGGTTAGTGATGAGTATCGACTCTGTTAACGTATGACATAGATTTCTGATACCGTGGTGGTCCCCATCAAAAAACTTTCTCAAAAGGGCTTGATTACGGTAGCTAAATTTCGGTAGTGCTCTGTGTATCCTATTAATGTTATATCCCCGGTTTTTATATATGCTGTATTATTGCCCGGAACTTGCCTTTATAGGCCAGGAACTTGCTGGAGCACTCCCCAAAGTCAGGTGAAGCTATGCCAGACAGACTCATCGATTCTGGGCTGCATATCTCCAGTTAGTATCCACTGCCTGTTCGAAGAGATCGGCTTATGTGCCAGTGCAATCTGTTCAGAATCCATCCGAATGGTCGTTATGGTTTCTGACACTGTTGCTTGCTTTTTCGCAGTATAAATTGATTGCATTGGCTGATGTTTAGGTTGGTGTGCGTGGCAAGAACTGTGTTGTGATTGGCGTTGAGAAGAAGTCGATTCCGACGCTGCAGGACGATCGCACCATCCGTAAAATACACAGTATCGATGAGCATGTGATGCTCGCTTTTGCTGGTACGCTCATGCTTCCTCATCTGTCACTTCACTGTAAAAATGCTTCAATTTTTAATCCATTTTTACTAATTTCTGTCTCCGTAATTGTTTGCAGGATGAATTCTGTCACTGTGAGCTCGGAAATGTTAAGTAAATTGAGAGGTTGTTAAAGGATTTTCTCCACGAAAGAGCCCGCTGCTGCAGCCATGGTGCTTTGTGTTTCTGCATCTTAAGGAACTCGAGTTTCTGCTGCAGGACAAGTGCGGGGTTCCGGGTTATTTAGCTAGGGATGGGGGAGGGAGGCAAAATTGTTTGCGGATTGGCATAAGCAAGATTGCTGAGGAACTGTTTAAATACATTTGAAGAATAGGTTCTTGCGACCGCTTTTTTGAATTTTGGGCCATTCCATCACTGTTAGTGCTGCTGTTTTGCTATCTCTGCTCTCAGTGATGCCGAATTCGTTGTAGGTGCGTAATTGTAGGCAGATATATAAGCGAATTGCATTCCATCCCATTTCTCAGAATTATTCCCGAACAGCGTGCTTACCCCTAATTTTTACTGCTCGATCATCTGACCTTTCCTTTCTCTCG